TCTTCAAGAAGGAGGGATCACCTTTGTGGCGCAGTGTTTAGAGCGTTTGCTCTAGAGTTGCTAAATAAAAGTCGATTCTTGCATCGCGCATTCAAATCCCACTGTGTGACATGGTGACCGGTACTTTGGATGAGACCGTATTAACTGAGGTCTAAGGTTGCAGTAGGTGTTGTTAAGAAAAAGATCCCTCACTGATCAATGGCCCTAAGTGCCGAGTATAGGACAGAATTAGAGCTCTCCACCGGCAAGTAGTAGCGTCTCCATATAAAGAAAATTCTAGAGGGGAACGTTAAACAGCATACAATCAATCCATCAATTAGGAGGAGGTTAATATACGACACTATATCAATGGTGCCTGTTTTGGAGGGTAACAGTTGAAATTAACACACCAAGGAAAACTATTGTCAAAAGACGCGTTAGCGGAGGTTGACAATGGTTTTCCGAGGGGTGTCAATTTCAACTGTTACCCTCCAAAACAGGCACCATTTATTTATAATAATAATAATAATAATAATAATAATTCTTTATTTAAAGAAGGTAACCCGATTAGTGCATGCACTATTCTTCCCCGGGGCCTTCTATAGACAAAATATCAACATACATACATACATATATATAAATATACAAAATCAATAAATAATCATAAGCTATTTCTACATTGTTTTACAAATTTTTTGACTTGATGCTTGAAAGCATTGAGTGTTTGAGACATTCTTATATGTACAGGTAAATTATTCCATAAGATAGCACCAGAGTATTGAAAGGAGTTCTCAAAGAGTTTACATTTATGAGATGGTACACAGAGGTCTAAATTAGATTCAGATCGAAGATTGTATCGATTATTACACTGGAAGTCAAACATACTATTTAGATAAGTAGGGTGAGAGTTGAACAATGATTTATATAACAAAACATATTTATTTACAATAAGTTGCTCATACACTGTGAGCCAATCTAGTTTCTCAAAGAGAGGTTGTGAGGGCGCATCAGGAGGAGCATCTAAAATACATCTTGCAGCACGTTTTTGAAGTTTATATACTCTGTCAAGATTTGAGTGAGATGTATTACCCCAAACAGTTAAACAATAATCAATTGAAGGCATAATATATGCATTGTAAAACAGCTTGCGTGTTTGAATAGGGTGAAATTTTTTAATTCTACGGAGGGCAGAAATTTTACGTGACAGTGTTTTACAAACATGGTCAATGTGTACATTGTATTGTAAAGAATTATCTAAATAAACTCCAAGAATTTTTTCATTTGATACAAAATCAAGTTTTCTGTTAGATACAACCAGATTAATTTCATGCTCAGAAAAATTTGATCTCTTTTGATGCGTACCAACTAACATGCATTTAGTTTTTGTAGCATTTAGAACCATTTGATTTTGAGAACACCATTTTTCTATAAAAGCTATATCCGTTGATAATGTATCTACAATAGTTTGAGAATCTTTACTTGATGCATGCAAAGTGGCATCATCTGCAAATAAGTCTAATTTGGATTTTGTAATACATAAGGGAAGATCATTAATGTAAAATAAAAACAGAAGAGGACCTAGAATAGATCCCTGTGGAACTCCCGCTGTGACTTGCTGATAAGATGAATGTTTGTTGGACAGATGTACACTTTGAAGTCTTTCACTTAAATATGATCTGAACCATTGTAAAGTTATTGCGTCAAAGTTATAACATTGTAGTTTTTTAAGTAGAATATCATGATTGACAAGGTCAAAAGCTTTACTGAAATCAAGAAAAACAGTACCAACAAGTTTACCTTGGTCCATTTCATTTAACCATTCATCTGTTATTTTTGTAAGGGCTGTTTGGCATGAATGTAGTTCTCTGAAGCCTGATTGAGAGTCTACAATAAGATCAAAGTCCGAAAAAAGAGATCGTATATATTTTGCCACATGTTTTTCAATAACTTTTGATAATGTTGGTAAAATAGAAATAGGCCTATAATTATTTGGATCTAATCTGTTTCCTTTTTTATAGACTGGGGTAACTTTTGCAAGTTTAAAACTATCGGGAAAAATACCAGTTTTGATACTAGTATTTATAATATGTTTATAATATTTCATTATACTGAATGTCTTATTGACTTAGGATGTCAGGAAAAAAATCTTCGATCGTCTTTACGTTCACATTTAGAAAGGCTTCAAGCTCCTCGCTTCTATTCTATTCATAAGAAAGCTTCGGAAAAGATTTACCGACCTATTATTTGTTTGTTTGATTCTCAGAAAATCCTAAAATTTTCGTTATTTCTACACTCGCAAGCATGTTTCGTCTCTCGTTTGTTGTTTTCAAGTAAGCTACATTGGACAGAAGCTTTACTGACGTCGTTTATTCGACTTCTTTCAAACGTACAACTGACGTGTTGAGAATTCTATGGTGAACCGTACGCGCATGATTTGCACGCATGTGGCATCACCGTTGTGTTACCCGTTGTCACGTGTGTTGCTAAGGCGAAGGGTAATAGAACGGATTGTTAACTGCAGCTAAACCAATCAGATTTTAGTATTTAACATGAAAGCAGAATAAAATAGGATATTAAAACATTACGTTACAGATATACTAGGGTTGTCAGGTAAAATCGTTCACAAGTTTTCTAGAGTGAATAATAATCTTCACTAAAGTTCACTGCATCCTAACGTTTTCGCTACTCATTAGTACTTTTTTATCAATATATAAAACAAAGGAGATGGGTGAACTTAGCGTGCAAAAAACCCAGAAGCTTCAGATGTATAAAAATCATAATTATTCAAATTGTTATTTTAGTATTTTAAGTAATCTCATCATTGATTTTTGTAAAATCACGATAAACAAAAAGTTCTGGGGATAATTTTTCGTTAAATTTTTTTATTTTATCAAGAAAAATAGTGTGGTATCCATTGGGTTCGAACCCTGGCAATAAAAATCCTGAGTTGCATTCTCTAATGAGACTAGCACGCTAACCACTACGCTACACAAGTCCTGATGAAGTGTGGCCTTTAAATCATGTTTGTGATATGACCATTGACTTAAGGGACTTCAAGTATTTCTGAAAAAGATACGAAAGCTATGTCATAAACTTAGTTTTTAGGTATAGTGGGTCATTGCTCCATAATTTTGGAAACCAAAATATGTATGTTTTAATGCAAACTTTGAGGATTGCCTTTCAAAAAAATGGAGAGAAGACCCACTCAGAACGAAAAATAGTGTTATAGTGTGAAAAAATGACTTGTTTCGTCCTCTTTCGTGTGTGTATCATATTTCATAGGCAAATAACTTCAATTTTCATGAGATTTGTGCAAGTTATAGATATTTTAAATAAAATATCCTTTAGTGTTAGTTGAAATATTAAAGAAAATTTTGATAAAATTGAGATTTAATTTTTCATCTTCATGTTTGTTGCACTTTGGGCTTTTCTCTTGTTATGTTCACCCATCTCCTTTCAAATAGATATATGCATAAATGAACAAAATAGGAGATTTTATGTTATGTGTTGTATCACCCTACTGCGCACGGATGATATCGTCAAAAGTGTCTAAAGCAGCGTCATGTTTCCAATGTTAAAAATAGTTGGATAATTCCAACTTAAATTTGGAAATTTCATTGATGCATGCTTGATTTTCCCTTTATTCCTCCATAAATAGTTGGGTAACCAACCTTGCACACACATGGGACATTCTGAATATTTATCATTCAACTGAGTAGGCTCTCTTATATTGACGGTCAACAATGACGGTATCTTTCGCTTTCCCACAGCTGATTGTAATGCACGGAGACTCGATCAAAAACCATTTCGCTGGGAAAACTTACGTGTCACTTGTATACTAAAGATCTAGTGATATTTTTATCTATTATTTTCTTCTGTATTCATTTTGAGACTTTTAGGGCGTCATTAATTCATCTAAAGCAAACTGAACTGCTTTCCGGTAACGTCATCGAACGTGGTCTTCTTGTGTGTTGTGTTTACGACTCTACCATTTCAAATACAAAAAATTAAGGAAATGCATTGAAATTTCCAAATGACGACACAATAGATTTAGGGAATAACTATCTTCTAATTTGGTATTTGCGACCGTTAATGCTGATTTAACGGGCGCAAACTGAGTTTTACCGGCGACGCGTAAGCGGAGCCGGTAAAACGGATGTTTGCGACCGTTAAATCAGCATTAACGGTCGCAAATACCAAATTAGAAGATTAGTTATTCCCATTCTAATGCAATCCATGCATTTTGTTTGTTGTTTACGTCTTATTTTGTTGAATTTTGTTACATGAAATACGTCACGGAGCATTGTGTTTTTGCGTCGCTCTATTATGACGTCACAATGAAAAAGCTTTCACGCACGTTAATGCTCGTTTTACTGCTTCAAACATCAGTGCATTAGCCAATCAAAACGTGTTTTACAAAACAATTGCATTAGAATAGTGGATTAAAAATAGGATAATTGTTACCCAAATCTCTTCTATTTAATACATTTATTTCGAAATAATAGTCGTGTATTCTCTAATGATACCCTGGTTTTTTATCAATCGTGCGCCATAGGACTGTACCTCATGCATATTCAAATATGATAAAGTATTTCTTCGTCTATATTTTATCAAACACTTTGTCCATGATTTTACCAAACAGTCCTTTTATATGTATAAGATTTTTTGGGGAAAAAATCTATATAACCATATATCCTTGACAATTTTAATTGATATGTTATCAGTATTATGTAGCACACTATTATGTAATTTGTACAAATCAGTTTTCCCCTCAAGATGATTATTGATTCAATTTTAACTTAGTCTTAGCCCCTTAGAGCCAGGGTAATGCAAATGGAAAAGTTATTTTAAATTACCAAATAATCAGCAGCTCTTGGGTGATGTAAGTGAGCGTTGAGGTCCATGGAACCTATTCTTGGAGTATAAATTTACAAAAAATGCGGGGGGGGGGGTGGTAAGTACTTTTTTTTATTTTTAGTCAGGAAGCTTTAAGTATTCTTGTTTACTGCTTGTGTTTGTAGGAGAACAATTTAGCTGTTCTTACGGACGCCATGGTTTATAAAACCCCACGTCCTCCTTGTGAGTATTGTATCCCACTTCCGTTCATTTTGTCAAAAATTGGTTACATGTTAATGCTGATATGTGATCAAGAGATAAATTATTAACATTTTACATTGTAATGATAAAATATGACAGTAAAATATTATCAGTATTATCGATATTAATATCATTCCATTATAGATATTATAATATTATTAATATGAGAGTTGTCCCTAGAAGTCGTAGACAATGTTTATAATTTCTTAAACATGCAACCAATACTAACCAAATTTGGCATAGAAATAATATATTCAAAGCTCTTTAAAGTTGTGAATTTTTAAATATATATCTTTCATATTAGTAATATTATGACGATTTATATGAAGGCCGATAAGGCCTGCCGGCGCACAAACAAAATTCTGAATAATTTACTCATATAAGTATTACATTTGCTTTTATTTCGTTAGTACTAAGTAGTAGTAATACATTGAACTCAAATTTAAATCATTAAAATTAGAATCAAAATCTTAATAATATGTCAAAATTTCATATTAATAGCATTAGAAACAGACGATTGGTGTCATGATTTTCATAGTGTCGTTGGAATTGAGTTTGATGAAAATGACGTCGTCAAACGCGCAACCGGCGCACGGAGATGTAATAAATTGTGTTGGATATGGTTTTCATACATCAGAGACGGGAAAAAAGGGTACAGAAGTGACATTACACACCGCATCTTAATAAAGAAGTTATTTCTAAATGGCATGATATTCAATGAGAGTTTTTCCTCTATATCCGAAAATAGTTACGATATGTAAGAAATGTAAGAAGTAGAGTACTGTTTGTTAAACGCAGGCAATTGGGAACAGTCTGGAAAGCGAACGACATCAAACAATGTGTATTTTCTGCTGCCTACAATCGGTGAATTTTTCGACTAAATTTTGACTGAAATTTGAATCTGCTTAAAAAATACAAATAAAAAATAAACGGACAGTAGTGAATTTAGATAAGTCCTTCGGTCAAAAGTGGTCTTTCGGTTTAAGAAAAAATATTGAATGTTAATATACGCATAAAAAGCAGACAATGAAATCATGACGTTTTAGGAGAGGTAATTTACGCTTGCTTTCATGCGGCCGTGTACACATACATTCTTTCTTTATTTTTACATATTTTTCTTATTAGATGTGATATCATCATGAAACTTGAATGCATTATTATAAAATGATACTTTTTGCTATGACAAGGAAAGAAATTTAATTTAACAAACAGAAACTAAACTTCTTTCCTTGTGTACGACTTTTTGGGACAACCCTCGTATTTATCTTTGTTTATTTGTATACACAGGCAAAAGTGGCTCACGAAAATTCTTCACATGAAAAGGTCACGAAAAACAAGGCATGTGAAATTTATGTGAAAAGTTCATGTGACTTTGACATAAATTTCATATTAATTTTACATGAAGAGCATATTGCATAAATATCTTGCAAAGAAATCTTCACATGAAAGTTCAAAAAAGATTAATATGTGAAAATCATATAAACTTATATTCATATGATATTCACATGTAAATATATTTATATAATTTTCATATGATTTTCACATCATTTTCAAATAAAAAGATAATCACATGAATATCATGTAAGCCACTTTTCCCTGTGATAATGATAATATTTGAGCTAATTTAGTTTATTTATCTGCAAGCCAATTCTTCAAACATTCATTTTTTCAAAATGACTCAACTTACACATAAGACTCTTTGTCCGATGTTGTTGTACATGTCGTCTTCAAAGAATTAAGTTCTCCTTTTCAAGATTAATAATTTACATAACATATGTCATCGTGAAAGACTTCAAGGGTTTACCACACAAAAAAGACACTCAAGTCATTGTCTTTTGCATTTTGATAATTTAATTAAAATTTGCAGTAATTTCTTACAGAAATCAATAGGTATCTTAATGAATATTGATGCCAGCATAATGATCATCATTCATTGGTTACCATTCATTTCGACCATTTGTCCTTAACTTTGACGTTGTGTGACTTGTTTTTGAAAAACTTTAACCTTCGCTATTACTTTGCATTGGTTGGTAACATTTTACAGGTATATTTTTAAAAAAACAAATATAAGCATTTATACGCATCTGGATTGAAAAAGGAGTATAGTGTGAACAAACACTCATATCTCTGTTAATACTGCAAATATCAGAATAATTCTTCCACGTTTAAAAAGAGGAAATATTTACAATAAAATATTACACATAATTTTTTGGTTGATTTTACCAGTTTTTTGCAAGCTCTAGTCAAACTTTGCACACTATTCGAGCGATTTAGCCATTATCAAAATCAATTGTGGTGATTACCTCCCAACCCCCCCCCCCCCCACCCCACCCCACCCCAACCCCCAAAATGCTTAAACTTGTCTTTTTATGTACAACAAGCTGATCATTTTCAACGCAACAGTCACATATTTTCAAAAATATTTCACTAATCAAATAAACCAGAATCAAACTCTTTATTGAAAAAATGGAAATTCCAGCATGATAATAGTGTAGTTCCTTGCTATGGCAACTGAAATGAATATTTAATTATCATTTCCAGAAACTACAAAATACCACCTTTCAAAATATATAAACATTGGTATAAACAAAAAATACAATAATACCGTGAAATTGCATTGAAATCAATTTGTCTAGAAATGCTTAAAATCTTTTTCATGGAAGGGGTTAATTGAGTATCAACAAATTTTTTATCTTTTGAACTTGAACTAACCTTCGCCATAAGCAGTCACATCATTGTTTCACAAACACATCTTATTAAAAAGGAAGTTGCATTACCATTCTGTGGCATTATGTTTCGAATTTGGCTAAATTATATATTTTTCATATACTTTACTTTTCTATGCGGAAATGAAGCTGGAATACTTTGAAGTTAAGTCGTGTAACCTGTAAATGAACGTCATTTTACAGTCGAGATTGTATCTGTGATGAGAAGTGACAGACGTGTAAGCATTGGTGGTTCTATAGCAGAACCAAAAAAGCATGTTCGAACGTTGTTTCCAGAAACCTGGTTTTGGTTAAATAAAACAATAGGGTAAGTATTAAACACAATGCGTTAAATATTACTGTTTTGTAAAATTAAAATGTAAAGAAAACGAACAGTGATCATTTAATTATGAGCAGAGATAACATGAATATCTGAAAACAGAGGGGGATCAGGTGCCATGGAGGATTAACCATCCCTTGTCAACTGGTTACAAATGTTATGATTGACCTAACGGGGTAAATTTATAGAAAGTGAAGAAAATGACCTAACAATGTATAAGAAAGACGTTAGTCTAGGCAACATTCGGCATAACGACATATCGATGACAAGGTAATTATACCAGACACAAAATTTGCAAACTGTTGACTTTAACCTAGATAGTTTTCATATTTCATATAGTAAACTTATTTCTCACACACCCGTCTTAATTTAGAAAAATGAAATGCTCTTGTGTATTAAATTAACTGGGAAGAATAAACTTCATATGCAGGGGGAAATAGTACATAGCATCATTAAGGAAAGTTACGGTATAAAAGTCAAAGTCATCAAGATTATATCATAATACAATTATCTTTACAGCCCGGACGGTATGACGTCACTCAGTGTTCCTGTTCCTGATTCTATCACTACCTGGGTCGCTACAGCATTTGCTGTCAACCCTAACTCTGGACTGGGACTGGACCCGTCCCCTGCTAACGTGAGAAATATTTGTGGTATCTCTAACCTGTAAACAGTTTATAATAAATATGTCCTAGAAATTAACTTTTTTAGCCATTATTTTCAAAATTCATTGCAAATTTATTTAGCGTTGAGTGCATAAAAACAATTGCATGATAATTGCTAATTAATCAATTTGAAAGATTTTCATGTACAGTGGATCAAACCAAAGATTGCATTATATAGGTTTTGTTTTATTCTTTTGTTCATCCAAGTTTTATTTATCAGATGACAACCATGTGATTTTTAGTGTATCAGTATTAATTCGATTACAGCTTAGAGTGTTTCAGCCTTTCTTTGTGAGTCTGACTTTGCCTTACTCTGTTATACGAGGGGAACTAGTGGTTCTTCAAGTTAATGTGTTTAACTACCTAAAGAAAGATATCAAGGTATGAAAAATAATTATGTAAACATTTTTAAATGATGTTCAATGGGCCTTTGCCAATTATTGTTATTGAGTTTGTCTAAAAAATATTTGTATTTATGAAAGGTGAATTTTCGACATTTTTTCTCAGAAATGGGAGTGGTGCACGTACTTCGTGCGAATTTTAAATGTTTTATTTCATATTTCCTTTTTTCAGGTTCTCGTTATCATTAATAAAAACACGGCCTTCAAAAATGTCATCACTTACCTAAAAGACAACCAAGCAAAAACCGGGAGATTTTCATTCAGAATTGGACGAACATTCAATGTATGAACTTTGTATCATCAATTAATATATCTACAAAATACTTTTCTTCCTACTTAAGGACAGATGATACAAACATTTTTTTTTGGAGGAGACTTAATATCATGTCAAAAGTTTAGAAAAGTGGATAATTCTTTTTAATAATTTTTTCTCCTAAGAACTGGAAAATAAACTTGGAAAATATTAGTAATCTCTTTAAATATCTCTTCAAATTAGTTATAACAAGTATAATAGCCTCATGCATAATACACCCATGTAGGAAACAAATTATATTTACTTCAATGCTTGAGCCTGTTCTTTGAGTTTCTCTAAGTTATCTGTATTCTCTTGTACTCTGTTTGAACCCTCTTGCTTTACTACAAAACTGGTGATGTAGTATGACCATACCTTCATTTTATGTCTTTTTGGCTATTGCTTGATTGTATTGCAATATTGATTCAATTATAGATAGCACCTGGGGAGATCTATCCTGTCTATTTTCCTATTGTTCCTTCCGAGATCGGTGATCTTAAAATTAATATCACCGCCACGTCAACTGGTGCTAGTGATTCCATTATCCGGACTCTCAAAGTAGAGGTCAGCGATATTCAATACATATATTTTGAAATATATTTTATATATGATCAATTATATACAACTGGGTAGATCCAATACAAACTTTCGGAACGATTACCTTATCCTTTATTAGAAGATATCTTATTTTCTCATTTACTTTAAGACAATTACGAGAGTTTTAAATACAAACATTGTAAAGAAAAAAGGATTATTAATATCATTTTCCAATAATTTATAAATGCTTCAGCCCGAAGGACTTGAGAAGGAATTACACAACCCTGTGCTGATAAATACTGGTGATTCTGGCACATTTTCCGAAGATGTAAGAATAGAATTTCCACCAAATACTGTGGCCGGATCAAGGCGTATTAGGGCATCAGTTATTGGTTTGTTTGTTTTTTTCTGTTACGAATTTTATATTGGTTTGTTTGTTTTTTCTGTTACGAATTTTGTTTCTGAAATGCGCAGTCAAAACATTCATATGAAGCAGAATATGGCCTTCAACTCGATACATAGAACTTACTACGACGTATTGTCAATTAACAATTGTAATACCCATTCTTATATCGATACAATATATCCTGGTGAGCTTGAAATCAAAGATACCACAGAATCTGACACATTGCTTCATAATTGGTTATATTACTTGAAAAAGACGTGAATGGTAATCTAACAACCAAGCTATATGATAAACATGATGACTTTAACTTTCCTATCATTAACTTCTCTTACTTATGCAGTAATATACCTTCATTACCTGCAGACGGAGTTTATGTGCCTCAGTTGATTCGATAAACAAGAACATGCTCTATGTATAAACAATTACTAAAACGAGGTATTCTAATAATAATAAGTAAATTATTTACAAACAAAAGGATGAAATAAGAATATCAGCGGTCTCGTTTTGTAAGTTCTTTGTAAGTTCTATGGTCGATACAATGGCAAATACAATTTATCATTGAGTCAAATGCTGAGTGACATTTGTCATACTAATTGTTAGTCCATTATTTATACACTGAATTGGCGATGTGATTTTCCGTTATTTCCCAATTATGACAATGACCATATGGCCTATGTGACCGGTCGACAGGGGATGCACACTCCTCCATGGCACCTGATCCCACCTCTTATGTTTTGAAATCCGTGTTTGCTCTGCTCCTGTTTTGCATTATTTTATGAACTTTTCGTCTTGAATACCGTTCGTTATCACCATATGTTTCATTTACAAGAACATTTATGAAATACAAGAATATCAACAGTCTCGTATAATGTCAGAATTTTACAAGATCTATGGTCGATACAATGGTCCTTTCAGTAAATAGAATCTATCATTAAGTTGACTTCTAATTGACTTTTTTAAAAGTAATTGATTATTTTTTATTATTTTAACTGAATTTAGAGATTTTTCTTTTGGGCCAACATGAGAAGGAGCACACAACATGTTAACATGTGATTCTTACTCCTCCGTGACACCTGATCCCTTTCCTCATGTTTTAGAGGTCCTTGTTAACTCTGTTGTCTATATTTATTGTATTTATGGACTCTTGAACTTGATTTCTGGTCGTTAGTATTTAATGATAATATAATCTATTTGGGTGTTCATTGCCGTTTGTTCAAACTAATATGAGCATTTTGTATTACTTCTGACAAGCTTGAGAAAAGTGAATGAAACAATTTCTACGGATTTTTCTGAAGGAAATATGTACTGATATATGTCTATAATCTTTTTTTTTTAATCTTGCAGGTGATGTGATGGGTCCATCAATCAATGGACTAGATTCGCTACTGAAGATGCCATATGGATGTGGTGAACAGAACATGCTGAACTTTGCTCCCAATATATTCGTACAGAAATACCTAAAAGTTACAAATAACCTAACACCAGACCTAGAAAAGAAAGCTAAAGAATACATGATCAAAGGTTATATTTTTCTTTTTCTTACAATACTCCAATAGAACTATAAAATAAATGTATCTCGCTTCCATTCTTACTGACCATGTAGTGTAGGACGGCCCCGCGAGAATTCCATTGGAATCGAAGCAAGTTTTTTGACTTGCTTGGATAGCGGACGGTCTATTGCGTTGTCCCTTTACTGCTTGGAGAAAGATTTCGTGATCGAAAGTTCAACCCGGGGTTGAGACGAAGGAGGACAGAAGTGAATTCCTTTGCGATTTCTATATGTTGACAATTAAAACTTTTGGCATATGTTTGAGATACTAGTACATGTATTTGATCTTGCTTATTTCAGGTTACCAGAGGCAGATGACATATGTCCATCCAGACGGATCATACAGCGCTTTTGGCAAGAGTGACGCTTCAGGTAGTACTTGGTAAGAAGATTTGTTTACTTATAATCGAGTTTAATTACGCTTCAAATGCAAACGAATATTTGAAGAATATATGCCATTTTGGAAAACAAAAATTTGAAACGTTTTACGGTAATGTTTATCTATCAAATTTGTTGGATTAGAAAAGATATCTTTTTAATTCTAATGTAGACCATAGGAATACTTTTATTTCTGTAACTACATGTATGATATAAAAAGTATCATTTAAGTTTTGAAGAGTAAAACTAATTACAGGTTGACTGCTTTTGTTGTGAAGTCGTTCTCTCAGGCCTCAAATTTTATCACCATTGACGAGAATGTGGTAAGGGATGCCGTAACCTGGCTCATTTCTCAACAAAACAAAAATGGAACCTTCAGAGAACCAGGCATAGTCATAAACAGCAGAATGCAGGTAATACGACTATAAATAAATGTATCAGAATGACTTCAATCTGTGCATCCAGAGCTTTTCTTTGCCTTTTCTCTCAGCGTCTGTCCATCTTGGGATATGGTCAATCGCCACTACTGTCCTGTCCCCTATTTGTGACCTTCAAAGTTGAAATGTTCCCCGACCGATTTATTGAGTATTTTGATCTTAATGCCAGAGAGAGAGAGAGAGAGAGAGAGAGAGAGAGAGTAAAGCATACAGAGAGAGAGAGAGTAAAGCACAAAATTAACTACAGCTGTCTATAGAAATTGAACACTGTACATTGAATCTGCGTTTCTGTACAAACTACGTACCTCACTGACGTATTTATAGCTCACCTGAGCCGAAGGCTCAAGTGAGCTTTTCTGATCACATTTTGTCGTCGTCGTCCGTCCGTCCGTCCGTCTGTAAACTTTTCACATTTTCGACTTCTCCTCAAGAACCAATGGGCCAATTTTAACCAAACTTGGTACAAAGCATCCTTAGAAGAAGGGGAATTCAAATTGTTAAAATGAAGGGCCAAGTCTCCTTACAAGGGGAGATAATCAAGAAAAGACAAAAATAGGGTGGGGTCACTAAAAAATCTTCTTCTCAAGAACCAGTGGGCCAGGAAAGCTGAAACTTATGTGGAAGCATTCTTGGGTAGTGTAGATATTAAATTGTTAAAATCATGACCCCCGGGGGTAGGGCGGGGCCACAATAGGGAATCCAAGTTTTACATAGAATATATATAGAACAAATCTTTAAAAATCTTCTTCTCAAGAACCACTGGGCCAGGAAAGCTGAAACTTATGTGGAAGCATCCTTGGGTAGTGTAGATATTCAATTGTTCGAATCATGACCCCCGGGGATAGGGCGGGGCCACAATAGGGAATCCAAGTTTTACATAGAAATATATAGAACAAATCTTTAAAAATCTTCTTCTCAAGGACCGCTGGGCCAGGAAAGCTGAAACTTATGTGGAAGCATCCTTGGGTAGTGTAGATATTAAATTGTTAAAATCATGACCCCCGGGGATAGGGCGGGGCCACAATAGGGAATCCAAGTTTTACATAGAAATATATAGAACAAATCTTTAAAAATCTTCCTCTCGGACTACTGGGCCAGGAAAACTGAAACTTATGTGGAAGCATCCTTGGGTAGTGTAGATATTAAATTGTTAAAATCATGACCCCCGGGGGTAGGGCGGGGCCACAATAGGGAATCCAAGTTTTACATAGAAATATATAGAACAAATCTTTAAAAATCTTCTTCTCAAGGACCGCTGGGCCAGGAAAGCTGAAACTTATGTATGTGGAAGCATCCTTGGGTAGTGTAGATATTAAATTGTTAAAATCATGACCCCCGGGGGTAGGGCGGGGCCACAATAGGGAATCCAAGTTTTACATAGAGATATATAGAACACATCTTTAAAAATCTTCCTCTCACGAACCACTGGGCCTGGAAAACTGAAACTTATGTGGAAGCATCCTTGGGTAGTGTAGATAATAAATTGTTAAAATCATGACCCCCGGGGGTAGGGCAGAGCCACAATAGGGAATCCAAGTTTTACATAGAAATATATAGAACAAATCTTTAAAAATCTTCTTCTCAAGAACCGCTGGGCCAGAAAAGCTGAAACTTATGGTATGTGGAAGCATCCTTGGGTAGTGTAAATATTAAATTGTTAAAATCATGACCCCCCGGGGGTAGGGCGGGGCCACAATAGGGAATCCAAGTTTTACATAGAAATATATAGAATAAATCTTCTTCTCAAGCACCACTGGGCCAGGAAAGCTGAAACTTATGTGGAAGCATCCAGGGGTAGTGTAGATTCTAAAGTTTTAAAATCATAAAAGGGAAGGGGGTAGTGGGGCATGATAGGGTTAGCAAGAGGGGGAATCTGGTAAAGAACTACATCACCCAAGTTACTCAGGTGAGCGATGTGGCCCATGGGCCTCTTTTTTTTTTTTTTTATTTTAAGGGCGGCTCAGCAGCAGGTGAGAGGACTCTCACGGCGTTTACTCTTATCGCTCTCAAAGAAGCAGAGAACATGCAGGGGGTATGTCTGTTTTAAATGTTTAACTTTGACACAGACAGAAAGCTAATGTTTGTGAATTATCCATATAATATTTTTAATGAATTTATTAACATTGACTCGTCGTAGTTAAAAAGTGAAAAGTGTCCTGCACTCTTCAAATGAAGGCAAGTTTCTGATGGTTATCATTCTTGATAATCAAGAAATAGTGGTACTGTTATCTCCTTGTACCATAGTTGGGTGTGATTTCTTTTGTTAAAAGTGTGGGTTTTCTGTACATAACCCACGATTTTCTATAACTCTGCCCATCGAGTCGGGACAAAAGAACTATTTATAAAACGATCATGCACGGTTTTTAAATGAAACAATCATACGGGCTTGTTATACCAAATTTAGGAGAGTAAAAAGGAGTAAATTTTCAATTGTATACAGCATTTTGTAATATTATATAACTTTGTGAAATCCGATTATCTGATTGGTCAATAAGAAGTAATTATATTTTAATAATGACCGCTGAAAGCGAATAATGACTCGCACGAGCTGCCTCGTTTTCACTTTCGCTTTAGTCAAACAGTTTGCAAGTTGTAGGCGAGGAAAATTTAAAAGATATAGTGAAGAACTCTGAAGGTAAGAATGCAAAACAATTATCAAGGATATCTTTTAGCATTTTTCGGGAATACTTACTTTACATATACCATTTCATTGTTGAATTCGACTTTTCCACTCGGCAAGCAGATTTTTAACGCTGTTTACGCGATTACGGACTCGGAGACTAAAGTAAACTAGTGCTAATTGTAACGGGAACCGTTACAGATGTTCTCCAAACGCTCCCCCAACTCCCTTTTGGTGCCATATTCCTTGTAAGCTTCAGTAAATAAGACAAATTCTGTGCATTTTTGACTTTAACAGAAGAATACCAATTATATTCAAATTAAAGCATTGCACCCGTATGCATGTGAATGCATGTGCGTTATGACCATATCATCTTGTCTACACTATCTATATATTTTAATATACTATATTTTAAAGCATTCAGTCCAAAAGTATTAAAAATTACTCATTCAAGTGTACTTTTAATTTCGCTCGTTCCAAATGCACGCACGTGCGTGCACGTGCATGAAGACCATACCTTCTTGTAGGAGTCTCTTATATCTATCAATGTTCTAAATCCCATCCTGTTTGGTTGAAAAACAAGGGAGTTATAGCCATTTCAACTTTCAGCCAATCAGATTGCAGCACACGTGTATGCGCGTGATTTCATTAATTTTTTTCTATATCGCATTGTAGGATATCCTGATGAAGGACTATGTTTTAAATTTCAAAGCATTTCGTCAAAAAACAAAGGAGATATAGCCATTTAAAGTTTCAGCCAATCAGATTGCAGCACACGTGCATGCGCGTGATTTCATAAATTTTTTTCTATATCATATTGTAGGATATCCTGATATAGTCATTTAAAGTTTCAGCCAATCAGATTGCAGCACACGTACATGCGCGTGATTTCATGAAAAAAGTTCAAAGCATTTCATCAAAAAACAAAGGAGATATAGTCATTTAAAGTTTCAGCCAATCAGATTGCAGCACACACGATTTCATGAAATTTTTTCTATATGCGCTATGTATAAAAGTTGATTTCATGAAATTTTTTCAGCCAATATGTCATATTGTTGGATATCCCAATGCATGACTATGTTTTAAATTTCAAAGTATTTCATCAAAAAACAAAGGAGATATAGTCATTTAAAGTTTCAGCCAATCAGATTGCAGCACACGTGCATGCGCGTGATTTCATGAAATTTTTTCTATATCATATTGTAGGATATCCCATTTCATGACTATGTATCAAATTTCAAAGCATTTCATCAAAAAACAAAAGAGATATTGAGATTTTTGTTTCAGCCAATCAGAGCGAAGCTCACGTGCACGCGCGTAAGTTCTTGCTAATCTGACAGTGTCACGGTATTAACACTATAAATATATCTTCATGTTATGAGTTTCAAAGCATTTCATCAAAAAATGGAAAAGTTATGGCCATATTAAGTATATCAGTCATTTCACTCACTTCACGCGCCCGCACGTGCATGCGTATGCGCGCAAAATGACCTTCGTTCCGCACACCTACACAACACACCTATTAACCCTAAAAAGGTTTTAACTTAGTTGGGTGAAGAGTTTCTGAGAACACTCGCGGACAAAAAAAGTACCGGAGAAGAAATAAGAAAAAACAAAGAAAAAAATTTTTAAACGCCTCCAGCGGGATTTGAACCCCCGACAGTGGGACAAAGTTTGGTTCGGCCATATCTTTTCAATATATTCACGCATCAAGATACTGAACATATATTTAGAATTCTCATTAGACACTCTATAAACCCTGTAAATCCTAAAGAAAAATATTGAAAAACAAAAAAGTTGAAAAATGGGACTTTTTGAATTCACTTCCGTTTGCGACCGGAGGTGCCGACGACGAAAAATGAAGGTCGTTGTTCAGATTGGAGTTTGATGTTCTATTACCTCAGTGAGTTTCATTGTCATATCTTTAGCCGTTCTCGAGAAAA